ACCAAAACCTTGCCACGCAAAACCAACGCAATCTTACACAACTGTACTCAGTTTCTGTCATTTGTGGGTCCAAAAGCAGTAAAAAATGTATGAATAAAGCATAATGGAGATGCCTCTGTGTTCTTCCAAAGAATGATGTTGCTATAAATTACTCATTTGAACACAAAATTCGGAGTGCTAACGTAAGACTGCTTTCTTTTTCTCTGTCTCTTTTTTTTTTTTTTTAATCTCCCATCTGACTGAATGGAATCTTGGAATTTTCTGCTAAATAAAATTAGAAACATTCACCTCTTTTCCTCAAATGAAGCAATGTTTCTTTTTATGATACTTTTTTTTCTATACATTTTTAGTCTACTTTTACTTTCTTTTCTATAGTAACATCATTATTCATTTAGATTTGATAGTGAGGAAACACAAGTGCACATTAAACCTCTTAAGAGTTCTATTGTGAGATTCTGTAACTTTTTGGTTTTAAGAAAACAGACAGTTGTTGACTTAAATAAAAACTTTTCAGTGTTTTTGGTTATAGTGATTATGGCTATGTACTTAAATGGTTTGAGATTGTGATTTTTATTTTTTTAAAATAAATTATTTTATACTTTGTGTTGGACATTTCAGCAGTATTTGATACTTGTATGCTGGATTATGTTTGTTCTTCTAGATTCTGCTGGAAGGGCCTGGTACTTTGAAATTCAGTAATTTTTGCTTGGCTAAAGTGGATGGTGAAAACTTGGAAGAATTTTTTGCTTTAGTTGGATCTGAAGAAGGTGAAAGAAGTATCAGTGAAAGCACTCCACAGAGATATCTGAAAAATGGATTTCGAGGTATAATATTTTTACTAGCCAAAATTAGCTTATACCAAAGGGACAGAATGAAAGTTGGAAAAAGCCTTTGAAGTAATATGGTGAGAAAACCTTGAAATAAAATTGTTCATCGTTCTGTTGGGCCTGAGCAAGTTTCTAGAGAAACTGAAAAATTTTGTTGTGTTATGATTTGTAAAGATTGTGTTTGTCTGTGTCTTTGCAATGGAAACCATGATCTGTACGTTTTCTATACACATTTTTACATGTCCTGCATATAGGGAACTTTTTAAGTAAGCTCAAAACCAAAATTTTGCTCTTAAGGAAGGTTGTTCAGAGAGATCTAACTTACAGAGGGAACAACACCTGCAAGTGAGTTAAAAGAAAAGGAAATTGTATTTACAAGTACAGGGTAATGTAGGAAGTGTGATAAAGAAAAGTGAATTAAAATTAATCCTGTTTTGTCTCAGAGAAAAAAAAAGAGCAATGGAATTATTTATGGACTTTTTAAAAAAAGTCTATGCTGCAGATGCTCTCTGTAAGGTCTAGGACTAAATTCCATTAACTTCCTGTTAAATGTATACACAAAATTCTGTAAGTACTACACAGTGCTTATTTTATTGGAGACTTTGCAGTGCTGTACTTTCATTGTTCTTTTTGATACTGTTGTGGTTTAACCCCAGCTGGTAACTAAGCACCACACAGCTGCTTGCTCTCCCCCCAAGGGGATGGGGAGGAGACTGGGAAAAAAGCCTCCTGGGTTGAGATAAAAACAGTTTAATAGGACAACAAAGGAAGAGAATAATAATAGTAATAACAATAATACAAGTGATACACAAATGCAATTTCTCACCACGTGCAAAACACAAATAAAACAGTAGATCCCTAGTCTGTTTCTGAGCAGCAAATCTGCATCCCAACTAGCTTCCCCAGTTATATCCAGAGCATGATGTTCTATGGTGTGGAATATCCCTTTGGCCAGCCTGGGTCAGCTGTCCTGGCTGTGCTCTCCCAGCTTCTGGTGCACCTGATGGGGGGTGGAAAGCTGAAAAGTCCTCCACTTAGTGTAGACACAACAAGTAAAAACATCAGTGTGTTATCAACATTATTCTCAGCCTAAATCCAAAACACAGCACTGTACCTGCTACTAGAAAGAAAATTAACTCTATCTCAGCCAAAACCAGAACAGATGCAAATGGTCCAAGTGATTTCTAGTTTGAGGCTCGACTGTTTCGGTACCTTTTACTTAAGAATGATAAATTCTTTTTAAAATATGAGAAAGTTAACTGTGCTTTAGTTTCAACGGACAGATCTATGCAAATGCAGTAGGCTGCAAATACTATGGTTTTGGGGTTGGTTTTTTTTTTTATTGAATAAGAAAAATTCAGAAACTTGGTTTCAATCTTCTGCATCTTTTATTAGTCATCATCTCAGAGCATCTCACAGACCTTTATTTCCAAGATAATGATGTGTCATAGCAGTTACTGTACCAGGAGCAATGGAATTCTTGGCAATATTTTATGGGAACAAAGAGAGCTTTCTTAATACTTTGCTGTCTCCTACCAAAGATCCATACCGAAAATATGAAGACCAAGACCAGATCTTTATTCAGGAAGAAATACAAACCTAGTCTCTTTCCTGTTGCTTTTCAGAACAGCTGTTTTGATGTATATAGTTAATGAAATTTTGTTACTTCAAAAAATAAAAGCCGAGAACAAAAGAATCAAAAATAAGCTTTTTAAAGGACTAGA